CAGACTATGAAATAGTTACGTTCATATGCAAAATATGTATTCCTGGAGTAAATGAATAATTTACTCCTCAGGTTATAAATTATTTACTTAGTTATTCTAAATATATATATATATATGTGTGTGTGTACTATTTGCATTTTGCTGAAAGTAAAACGGACTGCAAGGAGATCCAACCAGTCCATCCTAAAGGAGATCAGTCCTGGGTGTTCATTGGAAGGGCTGATGCTGAAGCTGAAACTCCAATGCTTTGGCCAGCTGATGTGAAGAGCTGACTCATTGGAAAAGACCCTGATGCTGGGAGGGATTGGGGGCAGGAGGAGAAGGGAGCGACAGAGGATGAGATGGCTGGATGTCATCACCAACTCGATGGGCATGAGTTTGAGTAAACTCTGGGAGTTGGTGATGGACAGGGAGGCCTGGTGTGCTGTGATTCTTGGGGTCGCAAAGAGTCAGACACGACTGAGCAACTGAACTGAACTGAAAAGAAAAAATAAAATAAATAAATCAAGACTTAAGCTACAAAAGGAAGTGTTCTATTAAAGAGAAAGGGAGAGCAGAAGACAGCCCCAAATTCACGGCCTTCTTTGTAGAAAATACCAATTTTATCTGATAACCCCAGTGCCCAACATGAATTTTGTGGTTTGAAATTTTTGAGCTGGGTTTCTGGATTAGAAAATTCAATATCACAAAAACTTTTTTAAAAATTCCTTTAATTCCTAAGGCTCGCTGTGACTTCAAAGCAATAGGTAAGACACTGTCCTGTTCGGGTTGGGTGCACCATCTAACATGCTTTTGGGCTGGTTCATTCATTGGAATCACTCTGCCAAAGATTTCAGATCCCCAGCAATGACTTGCAGAAAAGCTTCTTCTTGAATAACCTTGCTTTCTTCTTAAGCATATCATCTGTCGGTTGGACAAACAATCCAGACTCATTCTCTTGGCAAGCGGAATTCTGAGTCAGAGTCGTCTGGGGGCACATCTGTTCCCAATATCAGGCATGGAATCATGCCTTCTAGCCTCCCACACGCAGGCCTGAATGTACCCTCAACGTGGCTGGTGGGAGTTAAATTCTACGGTGATCAAGGGTGTGGATCTGCTGCACAGGATTCTCATCTCAACCCTTGAGACAAAGCCTGGACATTGAGTTATAAGGGAATGATTCTTTCCTGTGTGCCCACAGAGCCCACTTCACACTGCATACTAACCAGGGCATAGGCTCTTGAGATCTCCCTGTTTTATCTGGGTGATCTTGGGCAACTTAATGTTTATGGGCCTCTGTTTTCTGATCTTAAAAGGGTGATAATACTGGGTTGGCCAAAACATTCATATGAGTTTTTCCATAATATGTTATGGAAAAACCTGACTAATTTTTGGTCAACCCAATAATAATACATGCTTTATGGGCTTGTTATAAGGAAAGGATGAGTTAAATCACACAAAACACTGGAGTAATACTTTACATATAATAAGTGTTCAATGAATGTTAGTTATTATCATTGCTATTACTGATGCACATGCTATTACTGGAGCGTTTTCTCCATTAACCTTTGAGTTTTATTTGAAAAAGCAATTCTCCTCATTAATTTCGGTAACTAGCTGGGTCTTCATCATGCATGTGTGCTCAGTCATGTCTGACTCTTTATGACCCCATGGGCTGTAGCCCACCAGGCTCCTCTGTCCATGGGACTGCCCAGGCAAGAATACTGGAGTAGGTGTCCATTTCCTCCTCCAGGGTATCTTCCCCACCCAGGGATCAAACCTGCACCTCTTGCATCTTCTGCATCGGCAGGCAGATTCTTTACCATTGAGCCACCTGGGAAGCCCCAGCAGGATATTGACTGTATCATACAATCGATAAATATTTCTAAATGAATGAATAAATGGGCATATATGAATAAATAATGAACAAATGAGCAAATGTCATGGGGTCAGCACTCTAGCACAGTGTGAATCCTGAATAGTTAAGAAATTTTTGTCCCAAACTTGGCTGGAAATTGAAAAGATGGTATCTGATTTCCCTATGCCATAGGCTAGAAATCTATAAAAATTGATGCCCTCATAAAGGAGAAAATCTTGAACTTCTTGATAACCTTCTTGCATTACTTTGTTGGGTCTTGCTTACAAGCTTCCTACCAATGAACCCATGTTACGGACAACAGTCTCCAGGTGATACAGCTGTGGACGGCAGGGCTCTCTCCTAAGCCTGATTGCACTTGCCACTCTCCAGGAGCTCCGGCGTCACTGTGGTTTCCCAGTCCTTCCCTGGATTATAGTAACATCGCCACCTGGAGACCACTAGGACATGAAGTCTGATGAGGGGAAAGCTGGTTAGAACTTGTGGCCGTCAGTGAGGGGACGCAATGGCAATCCTTCTCTCTGAACTTTCTGTAGACAACCCAAGGCTCAGATCTGGGCACAGCTTAATCCAGTTGTCAACCTGTGAGTGGGCAGGAGAGGTGCCGCCTGGACGAGGGCCAGTGGAAAAACCTGTGCTATCAGGTGCCGATCATGACGGTAGGGGAGAAGGGAGCCCATCTTATCAATAGGCAAAAGCATCCTCAACTTGAGTGTCAGAGGGAAGCATGGAAGTCACCAAAAAAGAATCTGTCCTGTTAAGACTCAAGAGAGGCTTTCTGGTTCTGCTCATCTCTGCATGTATAAGAAGGGTGCCAAGAACAGTAATTGCTTTAAGTTTTAATCTGCCTGAAAGTCATTCTTGGCACTCACCCTCATCCCTTCCTGATACCCACTCTACCCCTGGGCCTTGCCAAGTCAGGGTCACTCACCTCACCGCTGGACTATCCCGCAGGGAAAGAGTGATGGATACAATAAAGGGGTGAGAGCGAGACTCAGGGCTGCAATGGCAGGGACCTCCACCTTGTGCAACAGTCGATTGTAAAGCCGCATCAATGTCCTGATGTAAATGACCACCAAGTCAGAATACCCTTGTCTCAATTCTTTTTATTTTTAGCCATAAAGTTCCTAATAAGAATTTATGCGCTTCAATGCATTATTAGTAGAGATCACGCTTTATGTCACTAAATTATTTGCTATCTATTCAGAGTTCAAAGTTCTCATAGCTTTTGATTTTTACTTTTTTGCTGCACCATGCAAGTTGCAGGATCATAATTCTCCGACCAGGGACCAAACCTGGGCTCTGGCATTGGAAATGAAGAATCCTCCCTCCTGGACCACCAGGGAATTCCCTCCAAGTTCTCACAGCTTTTTGCCACCTCTTTCTTGTTTTTCTCTAAAAAAATTATTTGATCTTTAAGAGTTAAAATGTTAATAGTGCTTTCTTTTAAGGTAGTGAATGATTTTTATTTGCTTTCGTGTGCTCTTGTGTACTTTCTAAATATTATACAAAGAACCTCCATCACTGTAGTAATCGGAAAAGGCTATTAAAGTCATAACAGGATTGCAAAGAAAAGCTCGCAATGCTTCCCGTGAGGCCCTCTCTGGCTTTCTTCCACGAAAACATCCTTTCTCTGCATGCGAGTCACCAGAAATGGCTCAGCGCTTTGTTGTCTTATTGCCATCACATCTCTTCTCCCTGGCCTCACCTCATCCATCACCTCTGCTTACTCTTAAAATAAGATAGTTCATGGAGGGACAAGGAAAGACGCTATTTGTCAGTGAAGACGTACGAAATGCGCCTTCCAACTTTGTGGCCGTGATTGCCACTCTAGACACTCTAGTGCGCTGTTTACCCTCCCCCATCTGCTCAGTTAACATTTTGTGGCTGGGCCTGGAGCTGAAAGAGGAGAGCCAGGTACCTCCCCACGTCCTCCCTGCCCCCGCCGTCGTCTCTAGACTGGGTGTCAGTGATGCTGTTTCTTCCTCCCATCACCAAAATACATGGGAAATGCTGCTTGAGCTACCACAGCAAGTTCGACCTGGCCTAGCCATTCGCTCATGGCAACCAGTTTCCTGTCTCTTATGTTTATTTCTTAACAATTTAGAAGACAGCAAAGATGCCTTTTCTTTCCTCCTTACCTTTTCTGTTTCCACTGCTGACTCAACATCTGGGCTATGAGTTGCCTGGGGAGTGTTGCTGGCCTAGGAAGCAACTTGTTTGCCTTCTCCACCCTTGAATTTCCCTTTGGGAATTGATCCTTGGCTTTATTGAACCTGGTCCCCCACTATATAGAGCATCTGGGTGTGGCTGGGGCTTCACCAGACCTCATTCTTCTCCCATCCTTTCTTCCTCTTCACCTTTTAGAAAGAGAACCTTGCGACATCCTATCTCATTGAAGAACATCCACAGTGAGATTGCTGGAAAGAGATTTCACAGTCAGTCTCCTAGGAAGGAGATGGACAACAGCTGCCCATTAAGACAGGGAAAAGTTCTATGCATCAGAGACGCAGATATTCCACACTGCAGCTTCTGGAAACCCCACTGAGAGAAGACCGTCCTGACTCTTTAATCACTGCCTTTCCCCCGTCAGACGTGGCGTGGCCAGTGAAGAGGCGTCCAGCCTTCTCTGCTCGAGCACCTTCCCTGCGCAACTAACTGCCGGACTCCACCCATCCTGCAAGATCCAGTTCAAACGCCTGTCTTCGGGAGAAGTGCTTTCTCCTGCCTTAACCCCAGTAAATACTTTTCTCCATGGCCCACTCCTCTTTAGCTCCAAACACGTACAACACCTTCTTTGTCACAGTCCTCACTAGGATGTGAGCACATTCAGGAAAAGTGTTGTGTCTTCCTTTTCTTCTTATCCTTGATATCTAGCATGAGCTAGGAGCACCTAGCTGTTTATAGCAGTAGAATCAGCAAGTGTGGGATGGATGGATAAAGTTTTCTGGCTCTGATCACTCTGTTGAAGTGTCAAAGACAGAACCCAGGACAGGGGAGAAGGCCACACTGTCTCACAAAAATTCCTCACTGTGACTCGTTCCCAGTTACCCAGTTATACCTCTTCCTTACTGGACATACAAGCTGCCGATAGGAACAAGTTTTCCTGAAAACGAAGGCCCTGCCCAGCCTCGGCACTCCACAGCAAGGTCCTCATCCTGGAAAGGGCTGAACTGTGCCCTGTTCTTCATGCCGATGGTCAGCCCTGAGCTGTCTGATGCAACTTTCATTTCGGTCGCCTTTCTGATTCTCCTAGTCTTGGCCCGAGAAGAGTGGGTAAGAGAAAAGTCTCTCATGTTCCACGGCAGCTCGGCAGTCACTCCCAGCTCGGGGAATCCGGAGACCATCCCAGCTCTGTCTGCGCCGTGGCCTAGCTCCCAGTGTTTTAGCCTAAAACCTGAGCTCCGTCCCTGTCTGAGTGAAGCAGGCGCTCTGCACACACTCTCTTGCCGGCTTTGCTCCCGGAATAGGAACACCGGCTCTCTACGGCTCCCTGAGAGCATCCTCCTGTTTTTCAAAGGAAGAAGGTAACAGCCAGCAAAGGGCAGTGATGGCCCAAGTGATGACACAGCGTTTAGTAGTGAAAACGGGGGCAAAGCTAGAGGCCAGCTCTCCTGACCCCCATCTAGTGCTCGATCTGGACACCCTGGGCTGAACGTGCTAGCCTGGAGGAGTATTCGCGCTGAGCATGGAGTGGGAAAGAGAAGAGCAAGCTTCCCCACTACCCAAGTGGAGGTGGAGACCGGGAGAATTCCACAAACACCAGCATCTGACCTTAGCAGCTATGGAGTCTCTCTGGACCTTAGTTTTCTTATCTTTCAAGTGCGGATGATAGCAGCCACCCTACCGAGTGTTTGGAAGGTGGAGTGACATCATGTCAAACAGTGCCTGACGCGGAGCCGGGCTCGGGGACGACGCTCAGTGAACAGGGCCTACCATCATCAGGGAGCAGGCTGTCCAGCTCTGCTCCCCTTCCAGCTCCAGAGAGCTTCCCGGGGGGCAATTGAGGCCGCAGCCCACTGGCTTCCAAGCAGCGGCTCAGGACACGTGTGTGAGGGTTGGAGAAAAATCCAAAGTGTGTGAAAACAGCCAAATTCCCTGGAAGCCTAGTTATTTGCACTGTTTATTCATGGCCCTTCTCCTCCTCCCCCGACCCCCAGCAAAAAACTAGGATCTGACTTGAGGTGTCGCCCTGGGAAGGCAGGGCCTTGCTGTTTCAGCAGGGGGTGCCTCGTGCATAAAGCATCCTGGCCTCCAAAGGGGGCCTGGCCGGCTGCCCACTCTCCGCTTCCCTCTGTATCTCCCATCATTACTCATAAAAGCCTTCATTATGGTTTGGGTCCCCTTTATCGCACCTATAAATAAAATCTGACAAAACTGTAAGCAAATCCTTTAGTGGTAAAAGCTGAGAGGAGCGGGCAAAAATTAATTTTATGCATGAAGAAGTTCATTAAGTCGCTTCACGGAAATAAAAGGAACGGGCATCGGAGACCGGAGGGGTGCGGGCTTCTCCAGGGCGCGGGTCCCACGGCCTTGGCGGGGAGGTGCGGGGGGCGGGCGGGGTGGGCAGAGCGGAGCAGCATGCTCCCGCAGCCCTGGTGGCACCAAGGATCACGCTTGACCCCAGAGACAAGCGTGTCTTTCCCTCCGGGAAAGGCGCTGGTTTGGGTTTCAGAGGCAGGCAAAGCCGAGCCCCAGCGCTCCGGAGCAAAGGTGGCCGCAGCCAGCCCGCGCTGCTCTGAGCCTCTCTGGGCCGCCGCGCCGCTCAGTCGCTCCATGTGCGCAGCCCTTCGCAACCCCACGACTGCAGCACGCCAGGCTTCCCTGCCTTCACCGTCTTCCGTAATGCCCCCAAACGCATGTGCGCTGAGTCAGTGACGCCGTCCAGCCATCTCATCCTCTGCCCAGTGCTAATCTTCACTCCTGTAGGATAAAGGATGGGGTGCAGGAGATCCAGAATTCATCTGCGAGGGATAAGAAATATACGGTGGGATCCAGTGCTCTGCCGGTGCGGCCCAAGCATCAGTGACTCATTCCAGATTCATTCTCAACTGAGGGATATTATGCATTTTTTTCACTATGATTTTTCTGATTTTGGTGCATATAGTATGGAATCAACAATCCATTTAAAGGGGTTTGTGTCCCCTCCGGAAAAAGGAGCTGTTGACACAGAGACAAAAGTAACACCTTGAGTTCATCTCCTCCCACCAGCTTTCTGTTTTGAGCCATTGTTTGTTCTAGGCTATGCTGTTCAGCAACACACGATGAGTTTCTTTCGATGGAAAATAACTCTGTCAGCTATTTGTGATTTCAGTGAATTAAGACCGTTTCAGGCACAAGTTGCTTATTGCTGATAGTTTTGATTGGTTGACTATGTGTGTAAATGCAATAGATTTTAACACATAATACAGCCTCAAAAACAAACTGGAATCAAGATTGCCGGGAGAAATATCAATAACCGCAGATATGCAGATGACACCACCCTTATGGCAGAAAGTGAAGAGGAACTAAAGAGCCTCTCGATGAAAGTGAAAGAGAAGAATTTAAAAAGTGGCTTAAAATTTTGTTAAGGATTTTTGCATCTATGTTCATCAGTGATATTGGCCTATAGTTTTCTTTTTTTGTGGCATCCTTGTCTGGTTTTGGTATTAGGGTGATGGTGGCCTCATAGAATGAGTTTGGAAGTTTGCCTTCTTCTGCAATTTTCTGGAAGAGTTTGAGTAAGATAGGTGTTAGCTCTCCCCTAAATTTTTGGTAGAATTCAGCTGTGAAGCCATCTGGTCCTGGGCTTTTGTTTGCTGGAAGATTTCTGATTACAGTTTTGATTTCCGTGCTTGTGATTGGTCTGTTAAGATCTTCTATTTCTTCCTGGTTCAGTTTTGCAAAGTTATACGTTTCTAAGAATTTGTCCATTTCTTCCAAGTTGCCCATTTTATTAGCATAGAGCTGCTGGTAGTAGTCTCTTATGATCCTTTGTATTTCAGAGTTGTCTGTTGTGATCTCTTCATTTTCATTTCTAATTTTGTGGATTTGGTTCTTCTCCCTTTGTTTCTTGGTAAGTCTGGCTAACGGCTTGTCACTTTTATTTACCTTTTCAAAAGACCAGCTTTTAGCTTTGTTGATTTTTGCTATGGTCTCTTTCGTTTCTTTTGCATTTATTTCTGCCCTAATTTTTAAGATTTCTTTCCTTCTACTAACCCTGGGGTTCTTCATTTCTTCCTTCTCTAGTTGCTTTAGGTGTAGAGTTAGGTTATTTATTTGACTTTTTTCTTGTTTCTTGAGGTAAGCCTGTAATGCTATGAATCTTCCCCTTAGCACTGCTTTTACAGTGTCCCATAGGTTTTGGGTTGTTTTGTTTTCATTTTCATTCATTTCTATGCATATTTTGATTTCTTTTTTGGTTTCTTCTATGATTTGTTCGTTATTCAGAAGCGTGTTATTTAGCCTCCATATGTTGGAATTTTTAATAGTTTTTTTTCCTGTAATTGAGATCTAATTTTACTGTATTGTGGTCAGAAAAGATGACTGGAATGATTTCAATTTTTTTGAATTTACCAAGGCTAGATTTATGGCCCAGGATGTGATCTATTCTGGAGCAGGTCCCATGTGCACTTGAGGAAAAGGTGAAATCCCACTCCTGGGCATACACACCAAGGAAACTAGATCTGAAAGAGATATGTGTACCCCAATGTTCATCGCAGCACTGTTTATAATTGCCAGGACATGGAAGCAATGTAGATGCCCATCAGCAGACGAATGGATAAGGAAGCTGTGGTACATATATACAATGGAATATTACTCAGCCATTAAAAAGGATTCATTTGAATCAGTTCTAATGAGATGGATGAAACTGGAGCCCATTATACAGAGTGAAGTAAGCCAGAAAGATAAAGACCAAAACAGTATACTAATGCATATATATGGAATTTAAAAAGATGGTAACGATAACCCAATATGCAAAACAGAAAAAGAGACACAGATGTACAGAACAGACTTTTAGACTCTGTAGGAGAAGGCAAGGGTGGGATGTTCTGAGAGAATAGCATTGAAACAAGTATACTATCAAGGGTGAAACAGACCACCAGCCCAGGTTGGATGCATGAGACAAGTCCTCAGGGCTGGTGCATGGGGAAGACCCAGAGGGATGGGATGGGGAGGGAGGCGGGAGGGGGGATTGGGATGGGGAACACATGTATATCCATGGCTGATTCATGTCAATGTATGGCAAAAACCACTACAATATTGTAAAGTGATTAGCCTCCAACTAATAAAAATAAGTGAAAAAATAAATAAATAAATTAAAAGTGGCTTAACACTCAGCATTCAAAAAATGAAGTTCATGGCATCCGGTCCCATCACTTCATGTCAAATCGATGGGGAAACAGTGGAAACGGTGATAGACTTTATTTTCTTGGGCGCCAAAATCACTATAGATGGTGACTGCAGCCATGAAATTAAAAGATGCTTACTCTTTGGAAGAAAAGCTATGACCAACCTAGACAGCATATTAAAAAGCAGACACATTACTTTGCCAACAAGGGTCCATCTGGTCAAAGCTGTTGTTTTTCCAGTTGTCAAGTATCAGTTCAGTTCAGCTCAGCTCAGACATGTCTGACTCCCTGCAACCCCATGGACTACAGCACACCAGGCCTCCCTGTCGATCACCAACTCCCGGAGTTGACTCAAACTCATGTCCATAGAGTTGGTGATGCCATTCAACCATCTCATCCTCTGTTGTCCCCTTCACCCTGTCTTCAATCTTTCCCAGTATCAGCATCTTTTCAAATGAGTCAACTCTTCACATCAGGTGGCCAAAGTATTGGAGTTTCAGTCTCAACATCAGTCCTTCCAGTGAACACTCAGGACTGGTCTCCTTTAGGATGGACTGGTTGGATCTCCTTGCAGTCCAAGGGACTCTCAAGAGTCTTCTCCAACACCACAGTTCAAAAGCATCAATTCTTCAGTGCTCAGCTTTCTGTATGGTCCAACTTTCACATCCATACGTGACTACTGGAAAAACCATTGCCTTGACTAGACAGACCTTTGTTGGCAAAGTAAAGTCTCTGCTTTTTAATATGCTGTCTAGGTTGGTCATAACTTTCCTTCCAAGGAGTAAGCGTCTTTTAATTTCATGGCTGCAGTCACCATCTGCAGTGATGTTGGGGCCCAGAAAAATAAAGTCAACCACTGTTTCCATTGTTTCGCCATCTATTTGCCATGAAATGATGGGACAGGATGCCATGATCTTAGTTTTCTGAATGTTGAGCTTTAAGCCAACTTTTTCACTCTCCTCTTTTACTTTAATCAAGAGACTCATTAGTTCTTTACTCTCTGCCATAAAGGTTGTGATGTCTGCATATCTGCAGTTATTGATATTTCTCCCAGCAATCTTGATTCCAGCTTGTGCTTCATCCTGCCCAGCATTTCTCATGATGTACTCTGCATATAAGTTAAATAAGCAGGGTTACAATATACAGCCTTGACATACTTCTTTTCCTATTTGGAACCAATCTGTTGTTCCAAGTCCAGTT